TGCGGACACTTTATTATCTGCTTCCCGAGGGTGTCCGCTTACAGGAGCTTTGACTGTACGTATAATAAGGAACTTGTTAGATTTCATTATATTTTCATACAATCATGTACTTCCACTTTCGGGAGGGGAGGGGTGTGGTACTCAGGTATATTAGTGACTTCGAGGTGCGGAGGCCTTTTTGGAGTTTGAAATAGCGATTTAGGGACTTTTGGGGGGTTTAAATGTGATTATTTTGGTAGAAAGATTTTGGCAGGGACTTTTTGGGGGTTGATAAAAAGCATACCCTAGAATTGAATTAAAAAGGACATTTGGGGGTTATGTTCTGGGTCATTGGACTGTTTCAGGTCTTACGTTTTAGCCTAGTGAGATTTTTTGGTGATCTAAAATTTGGCCTCATTTGCACCTCCCCTGAGTCCCCCTCCCCCTCACCCTCACACCCCCCCCCCCCCCACCCCCCCCAAGCTTAACTGACTCTTCAAATTCAAAATGAGACATATCTCATATATAAGTTATATTTTGATTGGATTAATGACGTCTGGCTTGTGAGATCGACAGGATTAACTATTTCCTTGAATCTCCTCTCTTTCGCTGGGTTAGCGGGACTATTTGGATTAGACTAACAAGATATTTGTTACACGCACTTCAGATCCCAGCAGGCCAATATTTTCGAAGTATTGGACCGGTTTACAGCTTCTTCTATTATCAGATGGTTTAAAAATGAAAACATTCATAGCATCTCATACAATGATCCCAATAATTTTCCAATATTTATATGCAATTCCTTTTTTTAGGAATAAGCCCATTAGAATATTGAAACTGTTACTAATTTTCTGCCTCCTGTGGTTTGAGATTGTTCATTTCTCTCGGTCAGATTTTACCATCAAAGATTTAACACTAAACGGATATAAGCTTACGTTTGTTTATAAAAGCCAAACAAACAACTTACCTGGTTTGCGGAACTGGGATCCATGAGTCACAAAGGAGATACAAACTAACGTAAAATTATATCTTGCAGACTTTCTGATCTTCCCTTCGAAACCTGAGCACGCGGCCGGCCGGTCAGTCCATATCTGTCTTGCTGTATCAATTACCACATTTATCCTTTGATGCGAGGCTTCCAAACCTTCTTAAATTGTACCTTGGTTTCACAGTACCATAGGCCAAGCTTTAATCCATTGCAACGTGATTTCCAAGGAAAAAAGTACTTGGATTTTAGAAAGTTTGTTTTTTTCGAAGATATTTCCTTCTGCCAAAACTCCAAGTTACAGCATACTTCATGTAAGAACCCTTATTCTGTCTTTTACTTGTTACCACGTGACGTTAATTACCCAGAAGGCCATGCAAGAAAGAAGCTTGGTCGTCCATCATGGCGGAACTTTTGCTTGATCCAGCAATCCGTTTGTGGGTTATTTTACCGATTGTGATCATCACGTTTCTCGTCGGAATAATCAGGCATTATCTTTCTATGCTTCTACAGTCCAAGAAGGAATTAGATCTCTTACAAGTCTCGGATAGGTAAGATTTTCTCCCAAATCTTCAATTGAAAAACAAATTAAGCTTAAGCTTAAGCTTAAATTGAAACACGACTTTAGTGTATTTTAAATCACGGATCTTGTCCTTGATATTAATTCTCACTGTTACTCTCCACTTCATCCAGTAGGTTATTGTTTAATTGAGCGATCTTTGCGCATGAGCTTAGCCAAAAACTAAATAATAAATATTGTATCTTTTATTGTTTTTTTTTATACAGTCAAGCTTTAATGAGGAGCAGAAATCTCAGAGAAAATGCAAGATATATTCCTTATGAGGTAATAAATGTGATTGAATTTACGTTGATAGGGTTCCACTACAATCTACATATACAGTTGAACCCCTGTACTGTTACAACGGCCACCTTGGGGCCGAAATAACTGGCCGTTGTAGAGAGGTGGCCGTTGTAGAGAGGTGGCTGTTGTAGGGAGGTTTCAATAAGAGTAAAGTGTATGCATCAGTGTACAGTTGGGACGAAAAATCCTGGCCGTTGTAGAGAGGTGGCCGTTAGTGTAGGCAGGCTGAGTGCAGGTTCAACTGTATATAGTTTTAGGCACAGGAAGTTATATTGTACCTGGTAGTGGGCCAGTCTGCAAAGTATGGCAGAATTTGACGAGATCTCGCGTATGCAGAGGCATTTTTACTGGTTCTGGTATGCATCACATGCAGTATGACTCTCTTAAGCTATGTGTGTGCTCTACTCCTGGGAAGGGGGAGACTCCGATATAATAAAGTGACGGGGGTGATCGTCCTCGGGGGGGTACTCAAAAAGTTTTATACGGGGAGGCTCTGCCCAGAGGTCCAACCCTTACCCTTTTATTTTCCATTTTTGACAGAAAAGGTACCACTTTCATATAAAATGTACCCCTTTCATATACAGAACCTTCCATAGAAATTATGAAAATGGTACCCTTTCACATACCTACAGTAGAAACACTGCATCCCTTTTCTATACCCTTGGAATGAACTTAATGAACAATATATATCCCCAGAAGGAAGTGGAAGGAAGCTGTCTTATGATGGCTAAGAACTTCAAACCTGCAGTCCACCTCATACCTAAATGACAGTTTTCCCTACCCTTTTCTATACTCCAACTCGTGAAATCCCTACCCTTTTCTATACTCCAACTCATGAAATCCCTACCATTTTCTATACTCCAACTCGTGAAATTCCTACCCTTTTCTATAATCCAACTCGTGAAATCCCTACCCTTTTATATACCTCCAGTCTGAAAAGGTACCCCTTTGTGCGGAGCCTCCCCATATAGTCCATTATAGGGAGTAACCCCCCCCCCCCCCCCCTGGGTGATCGTCGTACCTTTTAGGGGTGAAATTTTGTGGTTTGGTACCTCTTGAGGTGTTAAAATCTAACTTGATCAAGCTATTTCCTAACCCAGGCTTTTGAAGCAAGACGACATTTCTTCAATGATGAGGAAGAGGGATATTTTAAAACACAGGATAGAAAAGGACCGGTCAAGAATCCTATATCAGGTAACTTGTCACCTCTGTAAATGGTCAAAATTGCACTGAATGTTTTTTTTCCCATCTACCCTGTTGTTAATAACAAAAATATTATTAAAATAATTCTCCACTGTTGGAACAAGTTACCATTAAATTGACGGAAAATAGTCTAAACCACAAATCTCTGCTATCTTGGGTTTACCCGCATGCCACCATTTTGGGTTTTTTGGTGTTTCATGGTTGTGCCTTTTGTCATACAACAAATAGAGCTATTGTTTTCTGACAATAGTGGCAACCACAATACAGCTGTACATCATATTGGTGGTGCGTGGGAAATTTAACCCCCAAAATGGCTCATATTTGTATCCAATTTTTCCGTACACTTGAACATTTTTCCAATAATTATTTATTTTAACAAATTTTCAGTTTAGGCAATATTTCCAACAGACCTCTTTAGCTTCGTATGTAAACTGGCCATTTCAGACCACGTGATGTTCTCTAGAGAATTTTCCCTTTGTCTATCTAAAAATTATGCGTTCATATACACGTGAACATGAAGCAATTTGAAATAAATAATTATCTAGAGTAACAACACGTGGTCTGAAATGGGACAACAAACAAACCAAGCTAAAGAGTTCTTACTATTAACTTTGTTCCAACAGTGGAGATTTTCCTTTAATGAACACAAAAGAAATGTAACATGTTTGTTGTTGTTGTTTGTTATGGTTTGTAGATCCAACAATGATGGTGGATATGGCGAAAGGAAACATTACTAACGTCTTGCCGATGATTCTTATTGGTGGCTGGATCAACTGGCATTACTCAGGCTTTATCACAAGTAAGATAGCACTTACCTAAGGCTATACAGTCATGTTAATACATGTTTATATCAAGAAGAAGATTAAATTATAAACTTTAACTAAAGGTAAAAGAAATGTGACCCACTTGGTGTCCCATGTTGCAGGCATCAGTTGATCACCAGTTGCCATCAGTTGGCCAATAGGCAACACGATGGCCAAAGACAAATTCAACACAATGTTCTGCAATGGCTCATGCATGGGTTCAGGAACCCTGTCGCATTTTGGTCACAGCATAAAACTTGCAAAATACTATCATGGCAAAGGAATCAGCATTCATGAGCACCAGAGTCATGTCCAGACAATTTCACATGCTCTCATGCCCTTAAATTTGACATCACATTGTCTTGGCTAAATCTGCCTATTGTTCCTCTGATGTGATCCTTTGCTTCACTTCACAGCAAAAGTTCCATTCCCACTAACACTGCGGTTCAAAGCCATGTTACAGCGTGGCATTGATCTCACAACCTTAGATGCATCATGGTAAGCTATGTACATAGAACATTATTATTTTAATTATAACTGAATGAAATATTTTACTTATGGACATAAAAAAGGTTCAAGTCTGTCTATATGCCAGGTGGCTTATCAGGCCGGCACTTAAAAGCTCTTTTTAGCCCCCCCCCCCCTCCTCTATTAAGCCCCCTCTCTAATAAGCCTCCCCTCCCCCCCCCCCCCTTCCGTCAGGCTAAATTACGTTACATCAATATTTTCTGGCGTTTCAGTCACTTTGTATTGAAACGTGGTCTTTAATTTCCAGAAGTATCATTGAGTTAGGGTATAAACAACATTTCATTGGTAAGATGGTGATACACAACACATTTTTTGTTCTGTTTTAGATAGTGGTGTAATAGTAAAGTTTGAAAAATTAATGTGAATTTTCTTGAATATTTATGATTTAAATAATCCCCCCCTCTCTATTAAGCCCCCCCCCCCCTTCTTGGGCCTGAAATTAAATAAGCCCCCTTAATAGAGCTTTTAGGGTAAATATACTCTCCATAGCATGAAGCGATTCAATGCATTTTCATCCAAACTTAACAGATGTCATGATAAAAATTAAAATAATCATAAACCAGGGGATACTACATGTATGATAATCTTGAGAAAGACATTATTCAGTCAGTGACACAAGCTACTCAAAAAAAATTATGAGTTCTCCCAACAGGAGTCGAACCTATGACCTTCCGCACTCTAGTCGGATTCTGTACCACTGAGCTACACAGTACAGGAGACTCGTGGGAGCTTAGACCAGCATACTGCTAAGATTAGTTTTGGTGATGAGTGAGAATGTATGGAAAGAAATGATGGTATATTTTAATCTTGGTAGAAATGCATGTATGGGAACACAAGCTACTCCGGTAAAAATGATAATCTTGATGTTTCCAGATGTTTAAAGATTGAGACTAAAGGGATTAATTATTGTTGTCTCTTGTGTTTCAGGGTTAGTTCAGTGTCTTGGTATTTCATCAATGTGTTTGGTCTGAGGAGCATGTATGCACTTGTATTGGGTCAAGATAATGGTTTGTGTTTGTTTCTGTTTTTTTTTTTTGTCAAGTTTACTATCTTACTGACTTTCTGGCTTCTGACATCCTGCCTGTTCTAATGACTAACTGATGCACTGAATGACTAAAGGCCTGATCAAACGGTCACAACATTTGTTGTGAGCCGATGTTGAGACCGTTTGACCACCCCTCACAACAATGTTGTGACAACATTTCTTTTGTTCTTGAAATGTTGAGAGGTTGTTGTGGCCGTTTGGCCGGGCATGGTCACATGTCACAACATGTCTCAACAAATGTTGTGAGAATGTTGTGACCGTTTGATTGGGCTTTAACTGACATACTAACTGATGAACTGACTGATATACATGTACTGACCAGCTGACCCACCAACCAATTGACTTTCCGACAGACTGACCAACCAACCACCTACTGATGCACTGATTGTCTGATTGACTAACTGACTTACTAACTGATGAACTGACAGATTCATTGACTGACCGACCGACCCGACCGACCGACCGACCGACCGACCGACCGACGACCGACCGACCGACCGACCGACCGACCGACAACTGACGGACAGACGGACTTACCACTGACTGATGCACTGACTGACTGACTGACTGACAGATAGACAGACTGCCCGACAAGCAGACTGTTTGTCTGTTTGTCCTGTCTGCCTCCCCCATCTTTTATACGTTATACTCTAACCCTAATCTGTCTTGCCGAGATCCCTTCTGTCTTAAACTGTGAAACTGACAGACCTACATAGACTGCCTGTGAAGCAGACTCGCATTTACAAAGCACACTTGTATATCTCTTTGGGGACTGTATCACTAACTGATGTATTTTATTATTATTTTATTTAGCTGCAGACCAGACACGTGTCATGCAGGAACAGATGCAAATGCAGATGCAGATGCCGCAAGACCCAAGCAAGGCTTTCAAGGTTGGAAATAGTTGCTAATTCCAAAAGTAATACAGCTGCTATTGCAGTAAATACAATTCTGCAGTGGCCAACACTGCCAGGCTGCACTTATCCTGGTTTTTGTAGCATATTCAGAGACTAGAAGTATTGCTACAGTACTCCTCCTTGATGGGAATCTAGTGAAGTCTATCGCAGGTTACCCCCAGCAGTTTGTCTGGTTACCCTAACAGTTCATTGGTACCCATTTATACTCCAAAGTGGGAGAGGCACTGTGAGAGTAAAGTGATATAAAATAATAACGACTCAAAAAAACATAGAGTGGAATCCAGATTTCTCGAACCTCCAAGGGAAACGAAAATTGGCTCGAGAAATCGGGAATTCAAAATATCGGGGGTAAAATTACAGTGAAACAAATCCAAGGGAAACAACTTTTGGTTCTAGTTATCAGGGTTTTAAATCAAGGGTTCAAGAAATCGGGATTCCTGACAGCTCTTCTTACGGCCGCCTTGACCAAACCCTGTTTGAACTCTAGCTCATACAAACACTGTATTTCCACATTCCTGTAAGGGGCCAGCTCCAGTTGTGGACACGTTTTCTACTTCCCGAGGGTGTCCGCTTATGAGAGCTTCGACTGCATAAGCAAAAGTAAAGTGTCTTGCACAAAAATGCAGCACAAGTATTCCAGTTAGCACTTGAACCTGGACTGCTCGATCCAGAGCCCAACACGCTAACAATAAGGCCACATCCCAGTTGCTGTTGCAGTTCTAGGTTGTTAATTCCCTTTGTTTCATTGTAGGCTGAATGGGAGGCTCTAGAGATTGTGACATATGACTGGTCCTTAGAGAATGTGGAGCATGTGATGATGGAGGACTATTCACCCACAGAAATAAACATTGATGACGCTGTCAAGGATAAATATGTTTAATTTGGACATTTGACTGATTTCCTTCTCATGTCAAGATCCTCATGCTTTTTTGCCATCAAAGAACTGCAGTGTTCATTAACTTTTCCTTTGCTGTGTAAACTTCTTTCTCAAACTCATTAATAATTCATCAAGTTAAAACAAAGGAAATCGTAACCGTGTCGGAGGTTTGGATACCCGTTCTTAATTAGCATAGATCCCCACGATTTTATTTCTCCGTTTACTCCTTAGTTTTTGTTTCGATTGAGAAGATATATCAAACACTCAAGACAGTGTTTCATCAGTTTATACTCCGTTGCGCGTCGTATTTTCAACTCTCTTCTCGGTGTTTGGAAATGTGATGAAACCTTGTCTCTCGTGTTCGATATATTACGTGAAATGCGGCTGATAGAATGCAACATTGTTTTGTCATAACATTGAAGATGGCGACTCCACAATTGAACATAGCTGTTTGACAATAGAATCAGAAAACATAGAATAACTGTTCGCAGTATATTAAGGTGGCTCATCTCTGTTTTGCAACGGCATACCTTCCCTAATGTGAACGGCTGATACTTCGCTGTCAGAGCACCGTCTGGCTAGCTACTTCACCACTTTACTAGAAATAGAATGAACTTTCCAAAAAAGTAGTTTTGATTGGCATCGGTGTTACCATAGCAACGCAGCGATGACGTCATGCATTTTACATATGACCATTTTTCTCGACATCTAGACGTAAACTTTTAAAACCACCTTATGTTCCTTGAAGCCTAGATGTAGTTCTTCACGATTAAGAATTTTTAAAAAATTATATGAGAGCGTTTTGGAATAAAATGCGGTTGAATATTTTCATTAAAAAAATTAAATATTCACCTTACGTTTGTTTAATTCGTCGATACCAATGTCTTCTTAACTGATTGAGGTAATGTTTTTACCACATATTATACCTGTGACATAGGACTGTTTTCTGTCAGAGTTTCTTCGAAATTGCTTCATTCGATTTCATTTCATGTAGACAGAAGTAATCCCTGCTATATTCGCATTTTACTCAACGTAGTAACATATTTGTTACGGAAGCTGTAATTAAAAAACTAGTCGATACATTTTTTTAAATTTTTTTGGATGCCAAGCTTAACATCTATTACGCTTTCTCTGGAATTTTCAAGTGGATTGAATCATTTTAAGGGTACGAAATAAAAATAAAAATACAAACACGTTTACATTTATCCGCACAATCGTTTTTGCTATATTATTTGTTGACAGCTGATCTCTTTCAGAAATTTCTCTTTTGTCTATATTCAGGCATATTTGTGTGCGCTTACCATGCCTGCTTGCAACGCTTCGCTGCTGCTGACACGTCGCTCGTGAAAATGATTTTCTTCACCGATAATCAACATATATGAGTGGGTCACGCAGCCAGATGTAACGTTATTATAATTGATATATTAGTTACCACTCCTTCACTCTCTTCGTCTCAACAGCGTTTTTGAACAGAAGAGCAGCCTTCCTTTTTCGTTTAGAGCTTGGCTTGACCATAGTCAAGCAAGATCTGGATTCAAAAGCGTTAAAATTGGCTGCGTGACTACAGATTTATGTTAATTTCCATTGTACTAACGAAAAACAGAATTTTCACGAGCGGCGTTTTTGGAGCAACGAAACCTTGCAAGCATGCGTCGTAGGCGCACACAAATATGCCTGAATATAGACAAAAGAGAAATTTCTGAAAGAGATCAGCTGTCAACAAATAATATAGCAAAAACGATTGTGCGGATGAATGTAAAAGTGTTTGTATTGTTATTTTTATTTCGTACCCTTAAAATGATTCAATCCACTTGAAAATTCCAGAGAAAGCGTAATATATATTAAGCTTCGCATCCAAAAAAATTAAAAAAAATTTATCGACTAGTTTTTTAATTACAGCTTCCGTAACAAATATGTTACTACGTTGAGTAAAATGCGAATCTAGCAGGGATTACTTCTGTCTACATGAAATGAAATCGAATGAAGCAATTTCAAAAAAACTCTGACAGAAAACAGTCCTATGTCACAGGTATAATATGTGGTAAAAACATTACCTCAATCAGTTAAGAAGACATTGGTATCGACGAATTAAACAAACGTAAGGTGAATATTTAATTTTTTTAATGAAAATATTCAACCGCATTTTATTCCAAAACGCTCTCATATAATTTTTTAAAAATTCTTAATCGTGAAGAACTACATCTAGGCTTCAAGGAACATAAGGTGGTTTTAAAAGTTTACGTCTAGATGTCGAGAAAAATGGTCATATGTAAAATGCATGACGTCATCGCTGCGTTGCTATGGTAACACCGATGCCAATCAAAACTACTTTTTTGGAAAGTTCATTCTATTTCTAGTAAAGTGGTGAAGTAGCTAGCCAGACGGTGCTCTGACAGCGAAGTATCAGCCGTTCACATTAGGGAAGGTATGCCGTTGCAAAACAGAGATGAGCCACCTTAACTGACTAACTATTCATGCTTCCAGAAAGGATTTCAAGAGGGACTCTTCATTATCCGTGCATGCTCGTGAAGCCAAAGGGAGTCGATTCTTAGCAACGAAAACTAAAAAAGCAAACATCTATCTTCCTTATAATCCTATATAATTTTATTTATTCTATTGGCTATGGCACGATATATAAAATCACTTTTGTAAAATCTCCTTCAAATCGAAGAAAGCCTCAAACTAATAGTTTACCAAGGTAGAAAAACACCAAAGAGGTGATAATAAACCAAACAGGAACAAGGATGGCTAAGATTGGGAAAGATTAAGATGGATTACAAACGACGTACTTGTAAAATTTAGGAAGATGCACATACTGTGTCGTAGCTCCAGACTTCTGTCAGTACAACTGAGCAACCTCGTTCCCAGGCTCTCTCCTGG